TTACTCACCTCCGAGTCCCTTCACGATATCCCACCGCGGTTAGCTGAAGCCCTGGAAAGCGACGACGACTGGGACTTTAATGTGTTTGAACTGGAGACTGCCACTCAGAAAAGGCCTTTGACTTTTCTTGGTCTCAAAATCTTCGCTCGCTTTGGGGTCTGTGAATTCTTGAAGTGCTCGGAGACGACGCTGCGACTGTGGCTGCAGACTATGGAAGCCAACTACCACTCCTCCAACCCCTACCACAACTCCACCCACGCTGCCGACGTGCTGCACGCCACTGCCTACTTCCTCTGCCAGGAGAGGATCAAGCAAGCGTTAGACTCAGTGGACGAGGCCGCCGCCCTCATCGCAGCCGCCATCCACGACCTGGACCACCCGGGGAGGACCAACCTCTTCCTGTGCAACGCGGGCAGCCCGCTGGCCGTGCTGTACAACGACCGTGCCGTGTTGGAGAGCCACCACGCGGCCCTGGCCTTCCAGCTGACCGCCAAGGAGGACAAGAGCAACATCTTCAAGAATGTGGAGAGGAATGACTACCGGACGCTGCGCCAGGCCATCATCGACATGGTCTTGGCCACAGAGATGACCAGGCACTTCGAGCACATCAGTAAGTTTGTCAACAGCGTCGTCAAGCCCTTGGCAGAGCTGGAGGAAAGCGAGGGGAGGGAGCCAAACCCTCGTGACGTAGACACGATGCTCCGGTCTCCGGAGAACCGGACTCTTATCAAGCGGATGATGATCAAGTGCGCGGACGTGTCCAACCCCTGCCGGCCCTTGGAGCAGTGCATCGAGTGGGCTGCACGCATCTCGGAGGAGTATTTTTCTCAGACCGAAGAGGAAAAGAAGCTGGACTTAACGGTGGCGATGCCAGCTTTTGACCGAAACACCTGCAGCATCCCCAAGTCCCAGATCTCCTTCATCGACTACTTCGTCACAGACATGTACCATGCTTGGGATGACTTTGTAGACCTACAGGAGTTACTGCAGCATCTGGACAACAATTTTAAATACTGGAAAGGACTCGACGAAATGAAGCTGCGGGGCATCCGACCACCTCTGGAACCAAAATAGAGAAGGCTCCTTCTGTCTGAAACTGGCCCTCTGAAACTGCTCTACTCGCCTGATGTACTTTGCCAGTGATTCTACAAATTAAAAGAAGTTAGGACTGAACACTTTTTCATAAAATTTTATTAATGACTTTTTCCAGAAGTTTGCCTTATTTTGTAGTGTTTATACCAAACATTGTCATAGAAACATAGCAAACAGAATATTTACTAAATTGACTTTTTAAAACCAATCTGTTTTTATCTTCATAGGTAATTTTTAATTCTAGATATTTATAAAGGTTCTGTATCTTCACACTTTCAATAAATGTAGTAAAAATAAATAAATAAATAAAATAAAATTCATTGTTAAAGAACTGCATGACTCATCCTCATGCTAAATAAATGCAATTATCCATAGCACTGTTTCAGTAAGTGAACCAGTTGCCTACCCCATGGTAATAAAAATCCAAATTACAAAAAGCATTTTCTCCCCATCCTTTGAGAAATTTTAAAAATCTAAAATAGTACATTTTCAAGTTATTAGTGAAACAAAACAAGCAGAACTATGCAAGCTATCAAAGGGGAATACTGACATGCAGTCTTTGGCCCCATGTAATAAGTATAATCTGCATTATGACTTTACAATTAATTCAAGACTGCAGGGCAGTACGAATTAAAAAACTCTGAGACCTACGAATTAATAAATTGAAATAGATTCAAAATATTCAATTTATCCACATTCACTGTTTTCACCTTTCAAAGAATGATAGAAGAATATTGATTTTATGTCTTAAAGTCAAATGGGAAAGGAAATAACATAATATGTTAAATATCTATACCTAGTCTAGCTTAACTGCCACAGCAACTTTGTAAAATTATTACTGGTATCCCCATTTTTCAGATACCCAGGATAATCAAGCCAGGCCTACAACCTAAGCGTTTTGACTTAGCATTGTGTTGTAGAAAAGACTGTTTTTACAACACAGTTGCTTCTGGAAGTTTCAGAAATCATCTCAGTCAGCATGTCCCAAATTAAAGTCCATGAAATGCTAAGAGTCACTAAGATGTTAAGAAATGTTCTGAGAAACCGGGACTCTGAGGTTCAAAATTTGGGACAAGTGATATCAGAATTCCCAGAACTTTAAGAGGCGATAAAATGGGAAGTGTTCTGCTAATTTATTAAACCATGATGAAGACCTTTTTAAAAGAAAACCTAGTAACATCCATGGGATGTTTGTGCTCAACTATAAGTACAGTTTGGAAAATAATCATCTAGTCCAATCTCTTCTTTCCATGGTTAAATCAAATCAGGTACAGGAAGGTTAAATGACTCACTCAGGCCACACACAAAGTTACTAACAGGGCCAGGACTGGCACCAAGGGGCCTGCTGATTCCACCAGGATGCGCTTAACTCCTATATCTTTGTGTCTTCTCACTTCAATACTGTTTCTATAAAGTTCAACACCAATTAAAAGGGGGGAAAAAGTATTACATCAGTCACTTACTCTGATTCCTCTGAATGGCAGCAGAGAAACCACTGACCAACATTAAGCTAAAAAATGGTCTACTTCCCACTGCACTGGTATTCCAGAGATATTTGGAAATGTGGGGAATGATTCCGCCTTCCTAACGCTGAACAACACTTCTAAGCCAAGTAGTGCTATGCATATAGGCACCGTCAGAATTAAAATATCTCATTTGTGACCATCTTTATAAAGAGCTATTTGTTTATTGCTTTCCCCTTACCCCCTTACCCTAAGGACTTCCTTTCACTTTGTCCTACCCCTGCCAACAAGTATTAACAGTCCTGGGCCAAGGATGCCATCTGGTGTTTAGTTCAGAAGTTATTTAACCAACCTACCTTCCAATTACTCTCTCACCACCTGGCCCCTCTCCAAAACCACACTCCCCTTTCTTCCAATTCTTGCCCATTTACCTCAGTAAAATGTTTTTTTTTTTCTTCTTTTCTGCTGTTTATCCTAACAGAGTGAAAAAATATTGTATTTGTGGCATGCTAGTTCCAGAAAAATCACGAGTCTGAAAAACACAGTGAGCGGCCAATATAAAATACAGCCTCAGAAATGCCCTAATAGAGGCTTTGCCTCAATGGAGGTTGTTAGAATATCTATTAGTCATCCAATGCCTTAAAAGAATATCAGTGCTGGGAAAGGCCTTGAAGATCACTGTTGTGCCAACTGCTTCATTTCACAGCTGAACTGGCCCTGTGAGAACGAAATGAGGCAATCGCCGGCCCAACAGCACACAGTGCGAGTACATGGCCGAGCCAGGACTAAGGCCTGGGACGCCCCATTCCAAAGCCGGCGCTTGTCACCTACGTCATATGCCTCAGGCTCCTCAAGACTGTTTTTTCTCAACTAACATTCAAACAAAATATTTTTTTAGTGTTTTTATATTCTCCTTAACTAACTATGCTGATGTCATGAATCTCAAGAGCAGGGCCCATAACTAAATCTCCTCAATGCCACGTCTAACAGTGCTGAGCTTACTTCATAAATATTTACTGGCTATTTTTTGTCTATTATTAATTACTGTATTTATGGCAAATCTAGAATACCTTCACCATATCGTGCCTTAGAGATGCTTTTATCTGCTTAAAAACCTAACTGCCATTTTTTTATACCACTTTCTATGAAAAAAACTGTTCCCAATAATCATCCCATTGTAACCTTTCGGGACACAATCCATGCAGAAATGTGGGACCTTCTTATTGAGGGTTCCTATCCACCCGATCAGCCTTGCCCGAACAAGGACGAAAAAGAATACGGATGTAGCACGGAGGGGACAAGCAACCAATTTTCAGAAAATGGGGGTTTTAGTACCCGTGGCATTATAATCACAAGACCTCAGGCAAGCTGTTTTCTCTGCCATAAACGACTCCCTCCACCCTAAGCTCAGCTCAGATATGTGTAAATAGTTTATAAATTACAGATATCAATCATGGTCATGATTACAGGCGTTATCATAGTCATTTATCTGCGGGATCTATGGCTCAGCACTTTGCATACAGCGCGCCAGGTGATGTTCACAGCCCTGGTTTACAGATGAGGAAAACCAAGGCTCAGCAAGCTGGGAAACCTGTCTGGGGCCAAAGCTACGAGCTGAGGTCTGACACTCCGGAGCTGATGCTCCCAGCAGGTGGGGGATGCTGCTAAGCCGACTCTCCACCCCCGACCCCTGGGGCTCCGAAGTCAACGAAGCACGAGGGCGACGCCACCGACCTCGCTATCTGCAGGTTTGCAGGGGGCTCCGCCGTGCAATATCTGGGTGCAAAGAAAAGCGAGAATAACGGGGACCCGGGTCTCTCCCCGTCTTGGTCGGCCAGTTTAGCGTCCAGAAAGCCCTTCGCCCTCTGGGCTGGGGCTGCTCCCTTTGGGGGCGGGTTGGGGGGCTACCCGGAGCCAGTGCGGCTCTCGAGCGTGGGTCTCATTCGAGGTGGAAACCTGAGTGTGAATTCTTGATTCTGGGAGGTCATCCGAGTCTCCGACGAAGCACCGCCGGGCTGGACGCGTCGGTCCCGCCCGCCTCCCCCATAGCAGCCGCCCCCGAGGAGGAGCTTGGTCACGCGCAGCGAGAGGGCGGGCCGGCGGGCGGGCCCCGCGCCGTCCCCTGCGCGTCTCCGTAGGGAACCGAGCGGCGGCCGGAGTCGGCTAACGGCTGCGGGGCGCGGCGGGGTGACCGCGCGCGCGACTCGGGAGGGAGGGAGGGGCGGGCGGGGGCGCCACTGGCCGCGCTGCGCCTCCGCGCCCGCCTTTGGGGAGACCGCCGCTCACCTCGCAGGCGGCTCCGGGGGCTCGGCGCGGGCCCCCGTGCGCAGGGAGGCGGTCTGGACCGCGAGGCCACGGTGGCGGGCCCCGAGGAGCGAGGGCGGGAGGGAGGCGGCGCGGGCGGCGCAGGTGACGCCGCGCGGCGGGGCCCTGCGAGGTACTTACTGAAGAAGAGGCGGTAACCGGGCGAGTGGGGCTGGCCGCGCTCCTCCGTGCGGTACGAGGCCATGGCGCGGCGCGGCCCGGGCCCAGCGGCCGCTCCCTCCCGCAGGCGGACGACGAGGGCGCCCGTGCGACCGCCCCAAGCCGAGCGCAGCAGCGGCAGCAGAGCCCGCATGGCGTCAGCAGCGGTCCGGCTCCTGGCGCGCGGGGTGGTGCTTGGGAGCTCGGGGCCGGCCCGGCCGCGCGCCGGCGCCCCCTGGCGCCCGCAGTCGTCACTCCCGGCCGCGGGGCTGGCATCTAGAGCCCTGTCCTGGCAAGGCTGGCCCCTGGGACTCCGTGAGGCTGGTCAGACTCCGCGATCTTGAGAAATCAGGGAGCTCAGCGAATTGCCAGGGATGCACACTGCACCCCCCGCGAGCCCAGGGTCCAAAGATGAGCAAGACAAGGTCCACCGCCCCTGAGCAGCTCACTGCCATTGATGCATGCATGCGTTCATTTCTTCACCCAAGCAGCCCATACTTACAGTCATCGTATCATTTTTATTCTAATGACGGAATATTGAGTGACTGTGCCAGGCGCTACTCTAGATCCTGCCCAGTGTTGGCGACAAGCGTACACACACACAAAAAAACTTCATTATGAGACAAAATGACCAGGCCTCCTTGTGAACACTTGACCTTGACACTGACTTACAGAGCAAAAAACAAGTAACTTCTACCTCCTCCATGAAGTCTTCATTTAACCCAAGTAAAAGCGATTTATCCTCCCTTTTTTCTTGCATTTTCACTTCTCCAATGGCGTTTGATACTGTACATATGTTTGTGAAACTATCAGGTTTCCTATTTCACCCTGGATTGTTAACAGGCCAAGCATTTAGGACTCAAGTTTTAGTTTCCTTACAGGAGGTAGCACCATACCTTGCTTATAATAGTGGTACTTTCGTTGTTGAGTTAAGTGGCTCCTGGAATCCCCTCTCACCAACTTCATTAACATATGAAATGACTTTCCAGAAAAACTTGTGGAAACAATTGTGCACTTCTTCTTACCCTTCCTTCATCTCAGTCCAAACTGGCTTCCTCCACCTTCTCAAGGTCATCAAATGACCTCCTTGTTGTCAAACATGAAGATCAATTCTTAATAAACTGTAGTGAGAGAATCTGAAGAGAGCAGTAAGGAGGGTTTTTAAAATTAGAAATTAAAACTTTTTAAAAAACTTAAATATTTCAGTTATTCTACAAAAGTAAAAGAAGAGTAGCAATTCTACAAATAGACAAAAAAAGTACACTTGTGATCTTTGCAAAACCTAAATGAAATGGTTTAGTTAAAAGGCATTTTAAAAATAATACTTTCTTAAAATAACTGTAATAAAAACAATTTTAATAAGCACAATGAATACATCAATTTATGAAAAATGTTTTTTTAAAAATATATATATTTTTATTGCTTCTTAGAGAGAGAAAGGGAGAGAAAAACATCAATGTGAGAGAGAAACATTGATTGCTTGCCTCCCACACACACACACCCTGACTGGGGATTGAACCCAAAACCTGAGCATGTGCCCTGGCTGGGAATCAAACCAGCGACCTTCTGGTGCATAGGATAACACTCAACCAACTGAACCACACCAACCAGGGCAAATATATATAAAATTCTGGCTCCTACATGACAAGACAAACATCTTTATGTAGATTATATTAACTAATTTGTAGGAATTAAGTCACGATTACATATCTGATCCTAGTCTAAACTAATTAACCTAACTCTGTTCCACGGCTACAACCTACATCCTCTGGTCATTAATGTTAACAAAATAGACACACACAAAAAATTGGTTGAAACCTTTATTCACAACAATCTGAAAGCAAAAAATAAATAAATAAAATCTTATTAAAATGATTCTATAGCCATCATGTAACTTTATGGAGAGGAAATAGTACTTATATCTAGGCAACAGTCAGAATTTTGATCAACATGAATGTCTGGAGGTATTTAAATATATAAAGTAAATATCAAAAATATAAGTCTTTGTTTTACTATGGTTGCAAATATCAAAAAATTTCTATATGTGACATGGCATCAGAGTTAAGTTGGGGTTTTTCAAAATGCTGTCACGCCGAGCTCAAAAGGTTCGCCATCACTGCTCTATTAGATTGTAGATCCTAAAATGTTTTTCAAAAGTGGTGGCTTTGTAATGTGTCAACTTAAGTAAGCTAAACTATAAGGCAGACTCTCCCATAATAAAAGGGAGAAATTTCTTTTGTGCATGTATCACAATAGCTGTATAATTTTATTATTTCCTTATGAAACAAAAATGCTTATTTGTTCTATTAACCTTTGAAGTTCAGATGGTTCAACAAGATGAAATCCTAATGAGACAGAGTTGTGGGATAATTCTAATGACCTTAGATCTTATAGATTCTTAGACAAAAATAAAAAATTCCAGATATCTGATTTAAGACATGTTATTGATTCATGGCATTAAAAACAATAGCTTTTCTTTAGGAAATGGTGAAAAGAAGAATTTTTCCCCGGAGTATTCTTCCCCAAATTAACACCATTCTGTTTCCTAACACTTGTAGTTATCTATTGAGAAAATCTAACATGTAATTCTGAGGGCCCTCTTGCTAATAGCTTTCTTAATTCTGGTAGTATGTCTAGCTGCCAAAAAGTTATGTGAATCCTGATTTGAAGAAACCAGTAGTAATATTAAGCATTTTTAGAATATGAAATGTTTACTTAAAAAATATTGAAACTTAATTGGGGTTTTTTTTTGGTAAATTGCATCTTAAAATGTTACTGAAAGGAATTCTAGGGACAAAAAAGGTAGTTTAGGGAATAAAGAGGGTCCATGGGGGAAGAATGCATAGGTGAGGGCTTGGAGCTTCCAGAAGGCACACACTCACAGAGGACAGAAAAATGCCACAGTATAAGGGGAGAGGAAGGCATACATTCACAGAGGATAAAGAAAAATCACAGAGTACCAGGAAGAAGGAAACATACTTTCACAGAGGATAGGGAAATGTCAACAGATGCCAGGAAGAGGGAAAACGTATTTTCACAGGAGATAGAGGAATGTTGTAAGATATGGGAGAGAAAAAGAGGAAGGCACCATGTGAGTTTTGAACTTTGACACTGATATTCTGCAAAAGAGTGACCAATTCGAAAAGCACAGGTCATAAAATGGGGAAGGGGTCCAATTAGAAGGGCACATGAAGAGACAAAGAACCCGCCTTGGCTGGCCTGGGGCCTGTGGGCTGGGAGCAGCTCCTGCATTGAGCATCTGCCCCCTGGTGGTCAGTGTGCCTCATAGCGACTGGTCGTTCTACTGTTCATTCCACTGTTTGGTCAATTTGCATATTAGGCTTTTATTATATAGGATGATTTAGGAAAATTGTTTTATAAATAATATGTAGGAGGGACCAGAATAGGAAATAGTAACTCAAATATAGGATATAAAGACCCAGATATTAGTTCTAGCAGTGGGAACAGAAAGGAATGTTGGATTTGAAAAAAATTACAAAATATGATGCCTGTTTGGAAGTAGAGAATTGACAATGGAAGAGTGAAAAAAAAAATCACTCTATTTTCTATACAGAATAACCCAAAGGCCTGTGGTGTTATTCTCAGGTATCAGGAAATAACAATGGGAGAGAAACTTTGGAGACAGGTAATACACTTGCCTTGGAGCATGTTGAGTTGGAAACAATGCAGAAAGCTCCCAGGGAAGATAAAAGTATTTTATCCATAGGATTCTCTGAGAACCAGACTCTGAGGTCAAGTTTAGTATGTGCTGGGTTTATTTGGTTGTATCCTTGGGGCTGGTTTGTGGAAGTAAAGATAAAAAAGCAAGATTGGGTAACAACCACAACCTCAGCTGACCCTATAGAACACTCTGGAATTTGAATGGCCGGTAGAGTTGGTCAGTGTAGGGCGAAAATCACTGGGTCTTCATAACCCCAAATGATTGGCAGGGGACTTCTGCGGAAGGGCATAACTTGGACAAACCATGAAGGCCATCCCTGAAAAGGCTGACAGCTAACTCAAAAAGTCCTTCATTAAAGTGCCATATCACAGTGATTTCCACAACTATGAAACTGGGGTGGGGATTGGAATTTTAGATAAAGAAAAATTATTAGTGAATCCCAGTTCTGTTTCTGCTTTCCTTTTTTAAAATATATTTTTATTGATTTCAGAGAGGGAGAGGGAGAGAGAAAGAGAAACATAAATGATGAGAGAGAATCATTGATTGGGTGCTTCTTGCACACTCCCTACTGGGGATCGAGCTCGAAACCAGGGCATTTGCCTTGACCAGGAATCAAACCTTGATCTTCTGGTTCAAAGGTCGACACTCAACCACTGAGCCACACTGGCTGGGCTGTTTCTACTTTTAGCATTCTTAAGCAGAACACAAAATCTACCATAGTTATAGTTGTCATTTTCAGAAATTCTGGATGCTCCTGATAAGAAATAAAAGAATTTTAGAATTATGAAGTAGTCATTTATGTGTTAACTTTTATAAAAGCCACATGTGTTTCTAAAATGATTTTCCTAACAACATGATAAATAAGGAAATTTAATTTATTTCTAATTTTCATTGCTCATGCTTGCTAGCCGAGCTAGCTTTGGGGCTCTGGGCCATGAAATATTGCAGTATTTAATAAAAGTGATGAGGATTTTAAAACAATTTTGAGCATTTTCTAATTTACCTGGTTAGTCTATTACATAGACTGTAATATTTCACTGGCCTTCTGAATACTTTATTTAAAAGGAGAATTTAAAAAATACTTTCATGTTACCAAACATCCTATACAATAATAAGCTAATATGCTAATTAGATTGGATGGCAGAACAACCTTCAGGAACAACCAGTGGGCAGGGCCATGGGCCTTCGGGGCCTCAAGGCAGCCGGAGCTGCAAGGGCCGAGCCCCTTGCACGAATATTGTGCATCAGGACTCTAGTTTAAAATATTTGTCATATTATCAAATAAATGTTCCAAAAATATTTCAAAATGTTGCCTAGGGCTCATGTTTATTCATTATTTATCAGCCACATTTTTCCTGCTAAATACACGTCCAAGTTCTATATCATTTCTCATTTAAATATTAATCATTATTCTATTGAGAAACAAAGTTATCAGCATGACAGTAGGACAAAAGAAGCTCTATTAACTTTAGATCTTGAAATATGTGATATTATGCTGCAATAAAT